AAATCTTCACCCAAATCACAATTAAAAAAAAAAAAAATTAGGAAAGATGTTCTTTATTAAGTCATGCAACCAGAATTTAATAGGAAAATCAAATATATTAATTCAATTTAAAAAATGAAGTACCATTTAATCTTCACAAAATCCTACATGGACCAAACACTGAACTCTGTGATAATGCAGGTTTGTGAGGTTAAGTAAAAAATAAAACCAAAAGAACTTTTACTGTGAAGTTGATTTTGGCTCATGATGACCACATTTGTACAGAGCAAAACTTCTCCATAGGATTTCAACTCATGATCTTTTAGAAACTACATGAGGCCTTTCTTCCATGACACCTCTGGATGAATTTGAACTGCCGATCTTTAGGTGGTAGCTGAGTAAAAACAGTTTGCACCATTCTATAGCCTCAGGTTAAGTAATTTGCCTCAACTCACACTTCAGAAATCCAAACCCAGATCTGTGGAAATCTCATGCTCTTTCCACCACATTGTTCTACCATTTGCCCAAATCAGTCCATACATACAGCAGACACACATGACTAGAACAACTATGGAGAAAGTGTATAACTCTTTAAGATCTGTATATCCGGCAGGTGTCTCATGGATGTGGCAAAGTCATGAGGAAGGAAAATAGTTAAGTGTATAAAAGGAGCAAGGTCTCATTTGTCCCCATTTGTAAGTCAACTCAGCTCAACTGCCCTAAAAGCCACTACTTTTTTTCTGTGAAAGGCAGATTGCTTAGTTTTTATATCCTGAAAAGATGCTGATATCTGCTGTAGGCTGAACAATGTTGTTGTTGTTGTTGCTTTGTGCCATCTAGTCAGACCTGACTCATAACGACCATTCCTTGGGTTGCCGAGGCAGTATCACTACGGAAGTAGATTGCCCACCCTTCCTTCCAAGGAGTGGCTGGTGGGTTTGAATCCAAAAGATATTCACCCACCAGCCACTCCTCGGAAGGAAGGTTGGGCAATCCTACTTCCGTAGTGATACTGCCTCGGAAACCCAAGGAGGGGTAGCTATGAGTCGGGGCCGACTCGATGGCACATAACAACAACAACAATAACAAACAATGGAACTAATGGATGTTACTTTATATGGCATAAAAAAGACTTGGCAGATATGATTATAAATTTTCAGATGGGAGATTATTTTGTATTATCCAAATGAGATAACAAGTGCCCTTATAAGAGAGAATTTGAGGGATATTTGACACAGACAGACAATGTTATGTGACCACGGAAGTAGAGATTGAAGTGATGTGGCCACAAGCCAAGGAAGGCCAACAGCTACCAGAAGCTTGGAGGAGGCAAAGAATAGAATTTCTAGGAGTGCATAGCTTTGCCAATACCTTGATTTCAGACTTCTGGGCTCGAGAACTATAAGCAAATAAATTTCTGTTCTTTTAAACCACCAAATTTTTGTTAATTTGTTATAGCAGCTTAAGAAACTGAATGTCTGAATGATGTTGTCATACCAGTTGCCATTGAGTTGACTCTGACTCATAGTGATCCTATGTGTGTCAGAGTAGAACTGTACTCCATAAAGTTTTTAATAGTTGAATTTTTGGAAGTAGATTCTCAGGCCTTTCTTTTGAGGCACTTCTGAATAAATTTGAACCTCCAAACTTTCACTTAGCAGCTGAGTGTGTTAACCATTTATACCACCCAGAAACCCTGGAAATGACATTGTCATTGTTAGGTGTTGTGGAGTCGCCCAGACTAAAAACTGAATGAAGAACTGTCTTGTCCTGTGTCACCCCTATGATTGCTTGCAACTCAGACCATAGTGATCTATAGGGTCTTCATTAGTTGATATTTCAGAAGTAGATTGCCAGGATTTTCTACATAGTCTGTCTTAGTCTGGAAGGTCCACTGACAGGTGTTCAGCATCACAGCAACACTTAAGCTGCCAACTGGCAGATAGTGGTTATAAATGAGGCTCATTGGCTAGGAATTGAACCCAGGTCTCTCACATGGGAGACAAAACTTATACCACTGAACCATCAATGCAGCCCAAAACATAATCACACTGAAAGTTTGATGATATAGCTTTGGTTATCCTTTTTAAAAGGAAAAAGAGGGGGAGTGCTTCTTTCCCAGTCAGCAGTTTTTTGAGGGGATTTGAATTGACCTTGGAAAAGTTAGGATACTCTGATTTGTCAGGCTTTGTTTACTCCACATGCAGACTCTTTTACAGTAATTCTTTCCCTACTGCCTATTTAGGTTGCCATGATTACAGGTTTGACAGGTGTTAAGATGTTAGAACTGACAAAATAAATGAGTGCTAATAAAATTGTGAAGTGTTCTGCTGTGGAGTTACTGAACCAATGCAATGGTTTATAACAGCATGATGAAAGAGAATGATTGGATAGTGTGATGAATATGAAGTATTATAATTTTGATGGTCTTGGGATTATAAATGATAAGTGTTAAACAGTAATGCCATGTTCTTTTTGCCTACAGGCTCGGTGGGATGGCTTGACTGGGCGTATCACCTTCAATAAAACTGATGGCTTGAGGAAGGATTTTGATCTGGATATTATTAGTCTCAAAGAGGAAGGAACTGAAAAGGTAACCTGTTGGGTAATAAAAAAAAATAAATGAAATGAAGAACACTGGTCAAGCAGTGAACATACAAGTGCATATACCAGTTACACATCCAAGCAGGGAAATTGTATATACAAGTGGAAAAATGATAATGGGACTCTTTCAGTATTTTCACTAATATCCAGTTTTCTAATTCTCTCTTCCTCATCTTTAAATAGATGTTGATGAGCTAGATTCTCAAGTTGTGCTTGTTATGTTAATGATATTAACATTATGTTATTGATGTTTATATAGTGCTTGATTTAGATGATATGTGTGCATATATTATCACATTTATAAATCTATGAGGGGTATCCTCAATCTCATTTCTTAAAGGTTTTGAGAAGGTAAATGTAGACTTGGAAAAATTAGAAGTTAACAATGGTTAATCAATGGAATGGCATCCAATGGTTACTTAGAAATTAACTGCAAGTGTGTAACCAATGTCATTGAACTGCTTGTGTGCAAATTATGAATAAATGTATCTTTGGTTGGGTACAGTGCCACCAAAAATAAATAAAACATCAAAAATAAATTAAATAATTGCAATGCATACCATTTGAGATTAGTGACAGAAAGAATAAAGTAGGATTGGAAGAATTTACTAGGGAAAATTAATTTTTCATCCTTAATTTCAGAAGGGCAACTGATAAAAATTGTATTTCAATGTTCAGTTCCCTTTTGAGGATTCTATTAGTTGTATTTTTCAGTCTGTCAAACTGTAAAGTTCCATTTCAGTTACTATTTAGAGTGATGCCAATGTAAATTATTTATTTCAATAATATAATAATAATAAATAATTTTAATATTCACAACTATAAGGTAGAATTAATCAATATAGTTTGAAGATTCTACCCTTCAAAAGCTTAAGTAGAAGCATTCTGAAAACCTCAAAACAATTGTCCAGATAGCCCAGCTCTGGATCCATTTATCCATTTTATTCTCCTATAGTGGAGAAGTCCTTAACATGAATGAGTGACTCTGGGTAGAATTAATTGTTTATTTAATGACTGGTTGATTCTTAAGTGAGGTGAGGTTTTCATTTTTATTTTGTTGCTTTTATTAACTGGCACCCCTCCCCCTTCCCCCAGATCCTACCTACCACCCCTCATTACTAATTGAGACAAACAATGATTAATTAGGCTTAATGTAATAGAATGTGGTCACTGATGTTGACATGTTTGAGAGAAACAATTAGTTTGCAGCTTTGAGAACACCATTATGCATGCTGGTTCCCCATTTCAAAAAATTATCTCTCTTGCTTCTTAACTTCTTGCCTGTCTGTTGGTTTAATATACTCTGGCAGAGTACAGGCATCCACCTAGCCTCTCAAAGCAGGATATGGAATTTGGGCTGGGGGAACAAAACAAAAGAAAATAATACTTGTTATGTACTAAAAGTACAGATTTTCTTCTTTTTTTTTTAAGAAAATGTCTGCTCCTCTATGAACGCCCTTTTCCATTCCTCTTAATGTACAGAACTGAAAGGGGAAGAAAAGCTGTTAAGGAAACATCTTTTTGGCTCAGATGGGTGATGGAATAGATGGAGCTATTGTTATGCTCTCAGAGCTATTTATACACTGTAATATTATGCACACTCTACTGGCATTTTCCATCACAGGCAAAATCAAATTAGATGGAAGTGTTTTGTCAATTTATTTGTTATTCCTTTATTGTTTGCCATAAGTTTTCATTCTTCAGGTGATTTGGGCTCCATTCTTGAGAAAGCTGGCTTGGTCTTAGAGTGGTGGAAGAAGCCAAACTACCTCTCTCAGGAGCCAAAGGAGGCTTGGCTCTCTTGTCAACCTCCTAGGGAGGTCAAAGGGAGAATGTTAGAAAAATTCCATTTTCACACTTTTACTCAAGTTTCTACTGCCTGAAACCTTTAAGAATAAGCCATCAAGCATGCATTCTTCTTCTAGCATAAAATTAAATACACACACACACACACACACACACACACATATATATATATATATATATATATATATACATACATATATATATGTGGAATATGTATAACATGTAATATATATGTATGTATATTATATTGTCAAAATATCAAAATAGGTGTAGAGGTTTTACTTGAGCAGATAATCTTTAAGCATATAAGGGGACCTTTCTGGTCAGAAAAACAGAAGGACTCCTTAGGCCAGTGGCAATGAGTTTTAAGGAGAAAACATAAAGCAAATTAACCATTGACTAAATTTAGTGTGATTGATTGAGTCTTGTCCCCCACCCTGGAATCAGCTAGTATCAGCTAGTATCTCGCCACCAGGTAATGGTTTTTGTGGCCTGGCCAGTTCTCTATTCATTTTTACAAATCCTTAGATACTGTGCAGAGTTTTAAAATAATAAAAGCACCTCAACTACTCAGAAAATTTGATAGTTTTAGAATTATCTCTCAGGAAATAAGGAGAATTATCAAAAGTTAAATCATTTGCATAAGATAAACTCTGAGCAAGTTTTTGATTAACATATTTTTGTTAAAAAGGGGAATTTGAATAATGTTATGTTCACTGTGTCTCCATTTTATTTTTTTATATCTGTTTCTGGGATTTCTTATGCCCTGAGAAGAGTCTATCAATTTGGTCCTCAGTTTCTCTCTTTAATTATACACACATACACATACACATACATACACATATACATACGTGTATATACATACATATATATACATATATACATATATATATGTATATGTACATATTCAAAAAACTTTTAAGTCAAGTTTCAGTGAAAGAAAAAATGAAAATCTAGTCTTACCAGCAAGTAGAAGAAACTTTTACCACACCCAAGTATTTGGTTTATCTCTTTACTGTTTCTATTTTGTGGCTTTATACTGAATTAAGAAACACGGTCCCAAATACTGGGAAGGGAATATAACACTATTAGCATTCGCACCCATGATACCTTCTGGGTTCTATGCTCCATTTTAATTAAGTGCTATTTTTATTCTTCCCTCTGAAAACCAAGGCTGCTGGCGAAGTGTCTAAACACTTATATAAAGTGTGGAAGAAGGTTTGTACCCGGACAAATACTGCAGGAAACCTGGGTTGGGCTGGGGAATGTCATAGGAAAGCCTGCATTCTCTCAGTTTGCCAGACCAGTAGATGTCCAATTGCAGTTTAGAGGCGATGTTCAAGTCAAAGGAAAGGGGGAGGGGTCGGTGATTGAATACATTCTCTCGCAACAACATTACCCATGAATTGAGAACAGGCTTGCAATGGACTTGATAATGATGGATTAAAAATTTCCCCTAGATTATTTTTGTTTCTCCAAGGCAAGATCACTCCGTGTTAGGACTGAAAGCAGGTAACTGCAACAGAAACAATACTGGCCCGTTGATATTTTTTCTCAAATCACTAAATATTTTCCCTAAGGGGAATAAAAACAACAATAGATTTGACCCATCAGACTAGTCAGATGGGCTAAGGCCTCAGAAGTCTAGAATATCTCCTTCAGTGTCACCACCACAAAATAGGAACCATTTTCTGAAATTCCCTTTTCTTATGAGCTGTCTTTGTTTTACATAGTATCTTTGTCAAAGTATACTGTCTCACAATTTGTTTTAGAAGCACAGTTTCCAGAGGACAAAAACATTAAAGACCTTGGAAGAGAAATGAAATTATCTTGTAAATTATAACACCCACTATTTCATAGTTTATGTACAGTATCATGTTGCCAATGAATGTGCACAGATTTATATAAGCAAATGTTAGACATTAAAAGCATTTGGAACAAGAAACTGTCCCAGCTACATGCAAACACTATTTGTCATTCTTGCTTCCTAAAACTACTTGCTAAAATATCTATTGATTGACAGATGGACCTTAAATTATTTCAGGTTATTCAACTTGACTGGTTTTGTCAAGTTCACTTTTATCTCTTGAGTAATAAGTTAAGTCAGAGAAAGTGCAAACAGTTGCTCCTTGGAGTCAAAAGCTTTTCTCCCTGGAAGAAGTCAGTAGAATAGCTCAAAAATGTCCTCCTTTTACATAAAAACAGCAGCAACAACAGAGGTTTAATAACCTTGTTTTAATCTTCAATGAATCAAGTTACTATTAACCCTTAGAAGATGATTCCAGTTTTCTCATCCTGAAAGAAGCTTATTATACTAATCCAGCTTGAGACTCCAGGCATTTTAGACAGCATTGAATGAATTCCAACCAAATATCTGAGGGATGGAACTCAAGCTTAGAAATTATACATTGGGGGTGGGGGGAGGTGGTCTTTATTTGTCACTAAACTGCAATAATCCATCCTCACTTTCCATGGATGTAAATTCTTGGTCTCTTTCTCCCATGATGTATTGTCGCTGCCTCTTTCCTTTCAAATAACCCGTCATTTCCAACATTGTTATTTGTATATACCATGGTGAGCTGTTCCATTTTATAACTCTCCCTCCACAGTTCACAGTGACTAGAGTGCTAGCACACAATACATTTCAGGCCAAGTAAGCACATTGTATTTTCCTAAGAAGATTCCATCTTACAAGAGGAGGATTTGTCCCCATCATCTTTAAATTCCAAAAGCTCTCCTCAATACTCTAACACTTTTAGTGTTGTTGTTTGGTGCCCTTGAGTTGGCCCCGACTCATAGTGACCCTATGTGTACCCTATGTCAAAACAAAATAATGCCTGGTCCTGAGCCATCCTCCTGATATTTGCTATGCTTGAGCCCATCAAAGCAGCCACTGTGTCAGTTCATCATGTTGAGGGTCTTCTGCTTTTTCGCTGACTCTCTACTACCAAGCATGATATCCTACTCGAGTGACTGGTCACTTCAGACAACACGACCAAACTGGTGAGATGAAGTCTGCCTATTCTCACTTCTAAGGAGTGTTCAGGTGGTACTTCTTCCCAGACAGATTTGTTCATTCTTCTGTTACAAACAAACAAACAAAACCCCACTACCGTCAATTAGATCCTGACTCACGGCAACCTCCACTGGGTTACTGAGGTGGTAAATCTTTACCTAGAGTGGCTGGTGAATTTGAACCACCAATCTTCTGGTTAGCAGTCAAATGCTTTAGGCACTGTACCATCATACCTCCTTATTCCTCCGTAGTCCCTGGTATTTTCAGCATTCTTCCCAGCACCACAATTCGAGTACATCAATTCTTCTTTGAATTTTCTTAGTCATTATCCAGCATTTATATACATATGAAGCTATTGAAAATACTATGGCTTGGGTCAGGCACACCTTAGTATAAACCTAACAAAGCAAACTCACCGCCATTGAGTTGATTCCTATGCATAGCAACCCTCATTGAGTTCCCAAGGTGGTAAATCTTTAGAGTAGATTGCCCCATCTTGCTTCTGTGGTTGGTGGGTTTCAACCATCAACTTTCTGGTTAGCAGTCAAATGTCATAGGCATTGCATGCACAGAATAGAAAAAAACAAAACAAACAAACAAAAAACAGTTACTATCAAGTTGATTCTAACTCATGGTGACCCCATATGTCAGAGTAGAACTGTGCTTCACAGTTCTTAATGACTAATTTCTTGGAAGAAAATCGTGAGGCCTTTCTTCTGAGGCTACTTTGGATGAACTGGAACTTCCAATCTGTTGAGCATGTTAACTGTGTATACCACCCAGGGGCTCCTTAATGCAGACATTCTTTCCAAAAGAGAAATGTAGCAATCTTTACAAAGCCCATCACTGAAGATGTGTTAATAAGACTCATGAGAGAAGAAACAGATATTTTTCTCCCTAGATGCTTGATCATTTTACCTAGCAATTTTGGATCTTGATTGTATGTGAATTACTCCCTAGATTTAGAAGGAAAATAATAGTCACCTTCTGAACATCTTTTCATTGTGTCACCTTTTTTTAAAAAGTTTGCTTAATGTCATTTGGGCACTCATTTTCAAATACTTCCCCTAGTTGTCCTAGATAATAAATGGCTGCTCCCTCATGCCAGCTTACAAAGTGAAAGAAGGCAGGACCAGACAATTTAGCTGTTGAGGGTTCTTCCCCACAAATAATTGATCCACCCTCCACTACTTCTCACTGGTAAATTATTGCTGTCTCTTCTCACTATATGGTTTGAAAATTGAAGTTCTGCCTCCTGGAGGCATTCCTCCAAGGTCATAGAATAGGTCTGAAATGCTAAATGTCTAAGCATCTGGTTTACTGCACTCCTCTTACCAACACACAAGAGTCTTAGGATCTTGTTTTCTGAACAAGGGAGATTCATTTGCTGACATGTTTGTTCATTTACTTCAGTTAACAGAAAAAAAGTAGTTATTTATACTAAAATAAATTACTATTCTCTTTTTCTGTTTTGCTTATTATGAACTTTGAAAACAGAAAGCTGAGGTGATTCAAACTGAGTGTGTTCCCTGTCCACCCCCCAGGAATAGCCTTATCTTTATTTTGACACTCTTTTAATTTAAATGCAAAAGATTCCATTATGCAGACAGTAGAAAAAAATTATATTCTTCCCTTTTTTTCCATAATATGGAGGAAACTTCACGCTGAATGAGACTCTGTGACTTAGTTGATTGGAAATACAGCAGAAACCTTCTCTTGCTTTCCACACTGTTAGCAGGAATAGTAAGAGAAATAAAAGCCAGATGTCAAGCTATGGTGTATATTTGTCTACACTTTCAAGTTTGTATCTTAGGAGGAAATGATATGACGAGACTATTCAACACTGCCTTTTAAAATATTAGAATAGTTTCTTTAAATGTGCACACACTTGACATTAATAGAAATAAAATTGAAAGAAAATGTACTCCTTTACTTAATGAATTGCCTAAAAACACATTTACTTTCTTCACCCTTCAATACTTAATTAAAAATCAAGTTCTTTTCTCCCCAGTGCCTACATCAAGGTTTAATTATAAGTATGCCAGGGCTCACTTTACACAGTCTTCAAAGAGTCAATTGTTCACAACCTAAAGGAAACTTTAGATGAAAGCCAATTGGCTGGTAGGTGTGTTCAGCCTGAGTTATGTTTCTTAGAAGCAAAAGTCCCTGCCTCAGAAATATTGGAGAAAGGGTAGAAGTTGAGAAGAGAGAGAAGGAAATATTGTCTCCCTTTCCTGGGTTTAAAAGCAGTCAAAGAAATTTGCAGATTCTTTAATCAACACATGTGTATTGCACACATTCTAAGTGAAAATCACTCTAGGTACTGGAAATACTGATGTTATTTAAGATGCTGTCTTATATCCCAGCTCTAATACCTTCTCTTCAGACAGGATTACAATACCTTCAAATGCATAAAGTAAGCCTCAATCCCCAACCAGGCAAGTAAAGTATTCTACTTAGATCTATCTCCTTATTTCTCTAAACCATATTCTCAACTAACCCCAATTAAGGGTAGAAAGAAAACAGTGAAACTGAAATAGTGTACACTAATGTTTAAATGTGTGATAGCCCTGGATAATTCCTCAAAGCAATTAAGTCTCTAAAAAAAAAAAAAGACTTGTCAACTTAAAAGAATGTCTAACTGTTGAATGTAAGCAGGAAATCAACATAAAGAAATAAAGAAGGAAAAAAGAAGGGGGCTAATATTTCCACATGTGTTATTTCGTTTAATCATCAGAAAAACCCTGGTGTCTCCATTATTGAGACCAGCATGATTAATTCATTTACCAAAGTCACACTGGGATCTGAACAAAAGTCTGTTTACAAATCTCATATTCTATCCAGCTCACCAAATATTCTTCCATTGGGGAAATATATTTAAGAATCAAGTATAGGTGCACCCTTTCCATTGCAGAGTATGTCCAAGAGTGGTTGTTGTTTTTGGTGCCATCAAGTCAATTCTTGACTCATAGAGCCCCATGGGACAGAGTAGAACTGCCCTACAGGGTTTTCTGGGCTGTAATCTTTACATAAGGGACTCTTGTGGTACACTGCCTAAAGCATTTGACTTCTAACCAGAGGGTTGGTGGTTCAAACTCAACAGCTGCTCCACTGAAGGAAGATGGGACAATCTCCTGTAAAGATTTACCACCTCAGAAACCCAGTGAGGGTCACTATGAGTCAGAATCAATTTGATGGCAGTGAGTTTGGTTTGGGTTTTTTAATCTTTATTTGAGAACATTGCCAGGTCCTTTCTCCCATGGAGCCATTAGTTGGGTTCAAACTGCCAACCTTTCAATTAGCAACCACTTAACTGTTGTTCCACTAAGGCTAGTGTCACTAAACTGCCCTTGTGTTTAATAATCCCTTTACTTTATCAGCTTCTGAAAAAAAAAAATAATAATAATAATAATAATGATTCCAAGGTCCTTTACAATAGGGCAAATTTGAAGAATGCAATTACTGGAGCAGTTGTATCAGTTTTTTATTATTACTGAACATTTATGTAGCTCTTAACATATGCAAATACCTTCATATACATAATCTCATTTACAACAGAAGAACCAAAGCTCAGAAAGGTTAGCATCTTAGCCAAGGGCACACAGCAACCAGGTCTGCCTGGCTCTGAAGCATACCTGCATTCCATCTCATCAGGCTTGTAGTAAATATCTACATGAATGCTTCAGAAAAATTGCTCAGTTCTCTAAGGCTCTTATCCGGGGTTCCTCCAGAAGCTAAAAAAATCAATATACTTCTATAGGGACAAATCACTCAGAAGTGAGTTGGCTTCTGGAGAAAACTGTGAGCCATTACTTTTTCAAAGACTGGTGGTCTTCACTGAATGCCAATGATCATGGTTAGATCTATGATAGAAAGATCAATAGCCTATAAAAGAAGAGGGTCCTTACTGAAAAGCTCACAGCCAAAGGGACAGACAAGACAGGTAAACAGATGACAACAGGGGATGCTGGGTACCATAAATAGAGTCTACAAGGGTCCACAAGAGCCATTTTTCATCTAGCATTGGCTCCTCATTGGAGATAGACCCAGAACTTAGTCTGCTGCTCAACATTCTTTCTTTTTTCATGTTTCCCTTTTTGATAACCAATATCTCCACCATCCACCCTTTCCTGTCATCTCATTTTTTATAAGCTTTAGAGGCAGTGATGCTATCACTTTGACAGCATAAGGCAGAGAGAATGTAAGCTCTGTAAGGGCAGGAAAATTTCTCTGCTTGTTCATTGCTATGTCCTCCAATGCCTAGAATAGCTACTGATACTAAGTAGTTATTCAGAAAATATACATTGCGAAAAAAAAAGTCTGATACTCAATTAAGGACAATCAGACTCACCTCATCCTAAATAGCACATATTTTCCACATTCATCTATATGCTCACCCCTCCATTGTTTCTCCACATTTAGTAGCTTCCACTGTGGTGTCCTGGTGTCTTCTGCTCAGACTGTGAGCTTCTATGCCCATTCATGGTGTAGAAGGGAATTCTTTTTATAATAAATGCTGTCACTGGCAACTAGCAACACTAATGTACTGTGTTCTGTGTAGATTGGGATTTGGAACTCCAATAGTGGGCTGAACATGACAGATGGGAACAAAGACAGGTCCAACAATATCACTGACTCACTGGCCAACCGAACACTGATTGTCACCACCATTCTGGTAAGTCAGCTGCATGAAATTTAAGGTGTCTTATCCAGAATTCCACCCTAGGCACTGAAGAAGTTCTGGCTCTTTCTTTCATGCCAGCAACTTTGTCTGCAAAAGGGAGAAAAAGAAAAATTAATACACGAAGTGTTTGTATTTTAGAGGGTGTAGAAATAACCAGCTTAGCAAAGGCAGGGGGATGATGGCCTGAATTCAATATTATTAAATCTTTAAAAAATCATTTAAAAATATTTTATATCTTCAAGTGGCTAGCAGAACTTGTGTAAGTAAATCTACCTTTCATAATTGCAGTGTTTTCAATTGGTTTGTTTTATATAGGAAGAACCATACGTGATGTACAGGAAGTCTGACAAGCCCCTATATGGAAATGACAGATTTGAAGGATATTGCCTGGATCTGTTGAAGGAATTGTCAAACATTCTGGGTTTCATTTATGATGTTAAACTAGTTCCTGATGGCAAATATGGAGCCCAGAATGACAAAGGAGAATGGAATGGAATGGTCAGAGAACTCATAGATCATGTAAGCAAACCTGCATCTCCTAAATACAGGTCATACTTGTCTGGAAAAATAAATCCATGATAAGGGAAAGTAATCCAAAGAAAAAAATCGGTTCAGTCAATGTCAAAAGATATTTAAATATATTTTGAATCATATTAGTTGCCATCTAATGGGCTTTGACTCCTAGTAATTTTGTGTACAACCAGACAAAATGTTGCCCAGTCCTGTGCCATCCTCATGATCTTTGACGTGTTTGACTCCATTGCTGAGGCCATTGCATATTTTGAGTCCCTTCCAACTTAGGAAGCTCACCTTCTAGCACTATATCAGATAGTACACTTTTGTGATCCATAGGTTTTCATTGGCTAAATTTCAGAGGTAGATCACCAGCCCTTTTTTCTAGACTGTCTTTGTCTAGAAGCTCTGCTGAAACCTGTCCACTATGGGTGACCTGCTGGTATTTGAAATATTGGTAACATAGCTTCCAGCAGCACAGTAACACACAAGCCACCACAGTATGACCACTGACAAATGGGTGGTGGTTTGAATTATAAAAGGATTAAAACATAGGAGAGAACAACTGAGAAAAGGACTTTGTTCCTTGGAAGGTGATTGAGGATATAAAGGTATGAGTCCATCTATTATACTGAAGAGTAAGCCTGAGTGATTCTTAAATTAGATAAGAATTCTTAACGTTTTCAGCTCAGAGTGAAATCTCATCTTGTCAACTATTTTGACCAAACTGCTAATCCCTTGCTTTTCTCATATGCCCTTCTTAAAGAAATCCTCCTGTGGCTTTTTTTTTTTTTTTAACCTTTGCTTAAACCCACTGCCATTGAGTTAGTTCAGACTCACAGTAACCCTATAAGACAGAGTAGAATTGCCCCATAGTGTTTCCATAAATCTTTATGAAAGAAGATTGCCTCATCTTTCACCCTTGGAGCTGCTGGTGGATTCAAACCACCAACCTTTTGATTAGCAGCCAAAAGCTTGAACCAGTATGCTACCAGAGCTCCTTTCCCTTGCTAAGTTTCATGTACGTGTATGTATCTCTGTGTGTGTGCATGCATTTACACAAACACCCACATTTACACACATATATTTATATCTTCTGATTTATCTTTGCTAATAATGAATTAATTAAAATAACTATAAATACACTCTTTTTGTACTAAAACCAATCATCACAAGAAATTTCTTGCATGAGAAGTATTGCTATTGTTGTTAGTTGCCATTGTGTCAATTCTGACTCCTGGCAACCCCATGTGTGCAGAATAGAGCTTCTTCATAGTGTTATCAAGGCAGATTGCAAGGCCTGTCTTCCAGGCACCTCTAAGTGAGTATAAATCACAAGCTTTTTGGCCAGTAGGCAAGTGCTCAATTGTTTGTGCCACCAGGGCTGAGAAGCCTTAGGAGTTGAGAATAGGGACCTCCAGTGCCCAGGAAAAGTATAGACATTTGCAGAGAAGTTAAACCACTAAGGTAATGATTTCTGGTTTGCTTTTGCAGAGGGCTGACCTGGCCGTGGCTCCTCTTACCATCACCTATGTACGGGAGAAAGTCATTGACTTCTCCAAGCCCTTCATGACCTTGGGCATCAGCATTCTCTACAGGAAGCCCAATGGTACCAATCCAGGTGTCTTCTCTTTCCTCAACCCACTGTCTCCTGATATTTGGATGTATGTGCTCTTGGCCTGCCTGGGAGTCAGTTGTGTGCTCTTTGTGATTGCAAGGTAAGGTCCAGAACTAATGAACTTACTACTACAGGTCTATGCCAGTCTCAGTTTTCCCTGTAGGCTCTAGAGGCTGACCAAGACTAAAAACTTTAGTGTGCTATTTTAGTTTCACCTAGTTCTATTTTTCCATGGTTTCCCACATAGAAGCCAGAGTGTAAGTGATTTTTTTCTATTTGTAAAGGTGCATTAAAAGGAGAATAAAATGATATTTTTATTTTTTTTTCAGTAATTCAAACAATATAAAATGGTCATTTGCCCATTTTTCCTCAGTTATATTACAACAAAAACAGTACATCAACTAATAAATCTAAAATGTTTCAATAGTATATTAAAATTGTGTCAAGATCACTGAAATATTTGGTTACAAAAATGAGAGAAAAGCTATGAATTATTATAGTAAATCAGAAACACTGGAGTGAAAAAGGATGGCAAAATCCTCAGGAATAAAGAAAAATATTTTTGAAAAGTTTATGAAATTCATTTTTAAAAACAGAGAATGAGAAAGAGAAATTCTAGAACTAATTGTGAAAGGAATGATCACTTGTATACAGAGTATAGAGGCATAAAATCTTTATGCCACAATGAAGATTATTTAGCTTTGGTTTTCTTTTTTGATATTTAACTCTATATTTAACCATTCTGCTTTACACAGGTCTTGAGAGGATTTTTATACCTTACAGTACATCATATTTTCTAAATACCTTTGATGCTGAATTTGAAGCACAGCTACTTTGTCTTTGTGTAGGATTAAACGTTTGATATCCCTAGATAAACCATGTAAAAAATAATTGCTTTTGTATGTCTTTCTACTTGTTCTCAATCTTTTTTTACCTTTCAACAAAACTCAGTGAACTTTTTCCCTAATCAATATTTGTTTTCCCTCCAGGAATTTCTAAAAGACATATTTCTTCACGCTAGCCCTTTGTCATGGTCACTGTCTGGTTTTGATTAATGACAAGTAACATTTTCCCTGGTGTAATTATAAAGAAAGCTTGGAAAAAATAATCCAGTCTGAAAAGGTCTTAAAAATCCATAAAGCAAATGTAGTCAAAATGATTAAATGTGTGCTTTCACATGTAGAATTTATGCATTCAATATGAAATGCAGGTTTTAATGTTTTATATGCATAATGAATTATGTTATTGTTATTAAATGCCATTGAGTCAGTTCCGACTTCAGTTCTAGACTGTCTTTGTCTAGAAGCCCTGATGAAACCTGTCCACTATGGGTGACCGTACGTACAACAGAATGAAACTTCTTGGTCATGCGTCATCCTCATAATCATTGATATGTTTGAACTCATTATGGTAGCTACTGTTTCAATAGATCTCACTGAGGGTCTTCCTTTTTTTTTTTTTTTTTTTTTACTGACCCTCTACTTTACCAAGGATAATATCCTTCTCCAGGGTGTCCCTCCTGATAACCTGTCCAAACTACATGAGATGAAGTCTTGCCATTCTTCCTTCTAAGGAGCATTATGGCTGTGTAATAAAATATACCATTACCAAATACTTTAGCCAAACATTAAGTTACCTTTAAATATTAACCAAAACTCTCTTTCCATACACATTATCTCAGAAAATAAAAATCAACAGTATATGCAATGATATCGTCCCTTGATCCTTTAAAACTCTAAACCAATGGTTCTCAACCAGGAAACATTTAACCCCCTCACGGAACACTTTGCAATGTCTGCAGACACTTTGGTTGTCATAATTGAATAAGGGAGAGTGCTACAGGTATCAAGTTCATAGATTTCAGGGATGCTTCAAAGTATCCTATAATGCACAGGACATTCTCTACAACAAAAAATTAACAGACTCAAAATGTCAATAGCGCCAAAGTTGAGAAACAATTTTCTGAAAAATTAAAGATAAGATTATTTTGAATATCAAAATTTTTAATTGAAGTGCTCACCTTTGGAGATTCATTTCTCATTTCAGGATCCTAGACAAAGTTAATCCTGCCCTACAATAGTCATTTAGCAAATGACTACGCTAAGTTGATGGACCCTCTAATGAGTAAAATGTCTTGCACTGACTCATTGCTCTATTTCTCGGCTCTGCAAAGACCCACATCTATTGGTAGTAGACCAATCCAAGCAGCAGAGACCAATAGAAAAATGAGCTTCCATATCATTTGTGGTTCTGTCAAGGCAGTGATGCTGATGAGTAGAACAGGAAAGGCAATGTTGATGAGCAAGCACATTATTGATTATATTGACTTGACCAAAGACAGTGGGAGAAAAAAAAAATGTCAGCAGCATCTAGAAGTGTTCACTAGCGGAGCAGGATCAAAGTATCCCTTTACATTGGCCACAGTGCACTGTAAATTACCTTACTTTTGTTATCAGAATATGTCACAATAGTGTAACATTTCATCTTTATTTTGTCTGTTTCTCCATAATGGCTTGGTGACCAAGACCTCTGTATCTTCTGACTTCACACATTCTATTTCTATTACTATAGCAGATCCTCTCCTCCACCCCCAATCAATAGTATCCACTCAGCAGTCCAATTCACTAACAGTACCGTTTAAAAACCAACCTTTCCATTTTTAGCTTATTTGCTTGAACTCCCTCCTCTCACTGCATTCCCTTCACTCTGGGTCTTGGGGAAATGGAGAGATAGATACTATTCATCAAATACAAACTTACGAACAACATGATAATGAAAGATAGAATTATGTAAATACAGAAAATAACTCCCTGCAGTGCACAAGTATACTGAAATGGAAACCAAATTCTCAGCTATATTCATCTTCTTTACATTTTTTAATCCAATCATGTTTCTATTTCATAAAATCAATAACTATATTTTCAGAGTGATTCATAAAAGCAAAATCCTAGTTGAATACTCACTCACTGCCCTTGAGTTGGATCTGACTCATAGCAGCCCCTCCTTGGGTTTCTGAGGCAATATCACTAAGGAAGTAGATTGCCCAACTTTCTTTCCCAGGAAGAATCTGGTGGGTTTGAACCTCTAGCCTTCTGGTTAGCAGTCAAATGTCTTAGGTACTATGCCACCAGAGCTCCTAGTTGAATAGGTGTGCCTTTACCTCCCCCAGCATAGTTCGAGACCGTGAACTGAGTTACTGTATACCAATAAGCTAAGATGGACAATGGCTTTCAGTTACCACCTAGTTTGCACACAAAGTTGTTAGGTGCCATCGAGTCTGTTCTGACTCATAGAGAGCCTATGTAAAATGGAATGAAACACTTCCAGTCCTGCAACATTCTCACAATTATTGCTAATTTGAGTCCATTGTTGTAGCCACTGTGTCAGTTCATCCACAGAGGGTCAGCCTTTTTTTTAATGACCACTCTACTTTACCAAGCACCATGATTTTCTCAAGACTGATCCCTCCTGACAACCTGTCCAAAGTACATAAGACGAAGTCTTGCCATCCTCACTTCTAAGGAAAATTCTGGCTGTAGTTCCTCCAAGACAGATTGGTTTGCTCTTCTGATAGTCCATAGTATATTCAATATTCTTCACCAATACTGTAATTCAACTGGATTAATTCTTCTTCCTTATTCATTATCCATTTGGTCTTCCTTATTCACTATCCACTTTTCACAGGCATGTGAGGCAACTGAAAATATCATAGCTTGGGTGTGGTACACCATAGTCTTCAAAGTGATATTTTTGCTTTTTAACACTATGAAGAGGCCCTTTGCAGCAGATTTTCCCAAGGCAATATGTCATTTGATTTTGTAATTACTGCTTAAATGGGTGTTGCTTGTGGATCCAAGTAAAATGAAATTCTTGACAACTTCAATACTTTCTCTATTTATCATCATGTTGCTTATTGATGCAATTATGAGACTTTTGTTTTCTTTTTCCAACTTTTTTTTTTTGTGTGTGTGATTTGGGTGAAGATTTACAGAGCAAATTCACTTTCCATACAGCAGTTTACATACACTTTGTCTCATGACACTGACCACAGTTTACCACAATGAAACAGCTCCCCTCCCACTTCTTCCCCATAGTTACCTCTTCCCAGTGTCCATCCCTCCATGGACTCCTGCCCCCTAAGCTGTCTCC